GTATATGCTACTTTTTGGGGGAAAATTATAGCTATTATTACAAGATTTAAATGTCATTTTCATGAAGACCAACCTGGAAACTTTGTATATTTTTGGTGCTATAGAATTTTTGTTGCTGTAAAATTAAGTGTCATGGCTTGGAAACACTTTAAAATGTAATTTAAAGTGTAACCTATGCAAATAAACTCCTGAATAGTTTTTTTTTTTTTTTTGGTGGCTGATCATAGTTTAATATTACCAAATCGCTGCCAAAATAAGTAAATGTTAACATTCATATTTGGTTAACAGTACAAAATAATGTTTTTATTTGTTGAATGATCACATCAAACCACTTTAATAATGATGCAAAAACTCATCTTTTAGGGATAGGGTAATGAGCAAAAGCTAATTGTGGCTGATGGAAAATCCAAAGATTAGTCAGTTTTAAGTAAATGCCAACAAAGGAGTTTTAATCTGGTGTCCCTCATGTTTATCAAGTTTGCTGCTTAAATTTCTTCATTTACATTTTCATCCTGGTTTCCCAATTCCTGATTATTAGAAAATATAGAAAAGTAAACCTTGGTGATACTAATACCTATCCCAGAAGTCCAATATGCCAAGCACTTCTGTGTCATAATACTTGTTACAAACTCACCCATGATGTTGGGGGAGGAAGGAGAGAGTCACTAGATGTAACCATTTAAGAAAATATTTTATTTTTATGACTATATATTATTTCAACAATACTTGAATGACAGCTTTAAGATTTCCTTTTAAACTGAATAACAGTTCTTGGAATGAAGACAGCTTACTGATGATTACTTAATGAGCAATTATTAATGGACTGCTAACAGAGATGTCCTTCCAGCAATGTTTTTTAATTGCAGGAGGTGGAATGTTGGTTAGAAATATTTAATTGGAACTTGTGGAGGAAATTAAGAGTGAGAACTTGTTTAGGAAATCTAAAGGCCTTGCCAGCAGGACATTTGGAGCTCCATACCTCTGAAGGGCTGCCATACCTCTGAGAGCAAGCTGCCTCTTTTCTCAAGTTTAGCACTCAATAAAAATTAACTACCTGAAAATAACAGATGAAAACTAGACTTTAAAAAAGCCAAGTCCAATCCTTGTTTATAGCAAACATAAAACCAGATTTTTAATCCACCCCAGCGACAGTCACCTATTGATTGCGACGACATCTGTGCCTCTGTTTTTGGAAGCAGGATTTTCCGTGGATGCAGGAATGAAAAATCCGACCATGCCCGCGCCCCTGTGTGATAAACAGCCCACAGATCTTTCAAGAAGGAGTCCTGAAACCCACACCTCGGCTCACTTCTTTCTCACTTATTGATGGGCCCAATTAAAGGGTCTCCCTTTCCCCGCCAGAAGTTACTCCTTTCAATAATGAAATCTACGGAGAAGCCTCTCTAGAACTTCTGTGGTACCCTCTCACAGACAAAGGATGAAAGTCTTTGTGTACCACCAAATACAACCTCCTCCGACCCCGGCCAGAGTAAGCCACTGCGCTGTGTCCCGGACTCAGTTCAGCCGTGGGGCAGGACCAGGACGTTAGAGATCAGAGACTCTTAACCCTTTTCTTTCCCCAGTAGCTTCCCTGGGGATAAAGTCTTTTAAATGCCCTAGGCAAGGGAGGAGTAGGGGAGGGAATAGGTTTGCCGGATTGGCCCCGAGGGAGACCGCTCAATCAATCCTATATCACCTTTCCGTCGCGCAAAGCAGCCCCAGCCTGGACAGTTGTCAGCTGCAAACTGTGGAGCCCAGGCGCTAAGGAGGGCCACCTGGGAATGGAAAGCGCGCGCGTGGATGAGGGAAATGGAGTGGGCCCACGGTAAAGCCCAGATCAAAAACGGCCCCTCTCCCAACATAGGCTGCTTAGTAGCCCTGCACGAGCGAAAGCTGATTCATTTCCCGCTTTCACTTCTAAGTTCACGCTCAAGTTCAACCCCCAACTCCACAAGACGTCAGAGTAGCCTGGATCTTTCCTCAATCCCATTCTTAGTGAACAGCCTCTCACAATGTGGAAGGGCACTGTCCGCAGAAAATAGGAAGAGTCAGCGAGGAAAGACCCTAGAGATCAGGAAAGGGGAGCCAGGAAGGGCGAGAGAGCGACCTGACCATCTTTGAGGCTTACATTTTCTCCAGCGCGTTCCCCTAGGCCGCCTGTGAGGTGTCTCAAGTTAGAAGTTGTAAGGGGTCCTCGGGCGCCTGGCAAGGCTGACGCCCTCTGGGATAGGTGTGTGGGCTTAAACTGGCTTTCTCAAGGTGAGCCTAGGACCAGCGCTTGGCTTTCAATCAATCCTTCAAGCTTCTGGAGTTCTCAAAGCGACCGCCGTGGCGAACCGGGACAATCATCTGCAAATTGCTGCTTCAGGAGCGGCTAGATCAAGCTACTAACCCACCCCCACCCCCGCGCCGCTCTCCATTCTACCTTGTAGGGAGTGAGCGGCTTTTTTGCCCTAGGTCTTAGTGCTGGGTCCGAGCTGAGGTGGCGGGTAGTTTCCGACCTTCGGAAAGTACGAACCCAGCCACAGGGGGAAAGTTAGAAGGGTAGAAGAGAAGGGACGAATTGGTAGCTCCAGACCCGGACAGGGAAAACTGAAAGAATGGGTGGGATGGTGAGATGGGCCAGAAAAAGAAAAACAAAGACTGGGCCTCTCTTACTAAGCAAAGGTTCTGTACTCGCCAATTGCCCAAGTAAAGTTTCTCGAAAGAATTTAGACAGTGGAGAATGTAACCAACCCTCAACAGGGACAATCAGCTGGAGCCAGCGCGCACACAGTGTGCCCCACTCCCAGCGAGCGGGCCAATCAAGACCATCCCAACAGGACGTCCTTGTTTCTTATCTACAGTCAATCCCCTCCCCCATGGATATTCTCTCTCCTTTCCTTCTTCTCGTTCCCTTTCCTAACACATCCCAGCATCCAGCCAGCAAACCCTTGAGTCCAGGCTCGGGGCTCACGGGGTGCGAGAGGGAGTGGGAGTGAGACCTGCTGCTTCCTGGGGTGCTCCTCCCGGGGCGTAGAGGGAGTGAGTGGAAGAGGATCACAGTTAGTGGAAGGAGAAGACCAGTGGTTGCATCCCAAGTGCTTCTTCCCTAGACCACCTCTTTCCGGGTCCGGGATGTAGGAAAGTCTGGAGCTGGCCGTTGCTAACTTTCTGTTGTCAAGACCCAGGTGGACGTGCGAAGGGTAGAGAAGAGTCCCCGATGAACAGCGGCCTGACCAGGAAGAGAGACCGGGGGTGGGGGTGGGGGTGCGGGTCCAGAGGCTTGCACAGATCCCCAGTGTAAGGGGGACACTTGCCTGGCTCTTCAGTAAAAGCGTGAAGAATGGCCGAGCACAGCATGAAAGAAACCTGAGGTCTCCCGCAAGGCAGGAGAGGAGACCAAGTGACTCCTCGAAGCCCAACTGCCATCCCTTCCAGAGGCCCAGAGTTCAGCCGAAGCAGGTGTAACGCTACACCCCCTGGCGCGCATCCCCGCAGACCTCATCTCGCTCCGGGGTCCGCCGCCGCCACCTCCTGCGGCTGCGAGGGTCCCGGCCCGAGGATGCACCCAGAACCTTCTTCCACTACGGGCCCCTTTATCTGACAGAAGAGCCGGAGCCCAGGGCTCTCCGGCCGTGTAGCGTGGTCTTTCGAAGCCTCCAGAACTTTCTCATTACAACTTTTCCGGGGTCGCACTGCTCCCTGGGCCGCGCGGGCTCGGGCACGGGGACCTGGCCAGGGCGCAGCGCCGGCGCGAAGGCGCGCGCCGAACTAACTGTTTTACCTCAGCCCAGTCCAGCCTCGCAGCACTGCTCTTCTGCCTATTACCCCTGCGAAGGGACCTGCCTGCTGACCAGGACGCTAGTGGGCCTCGTAACCTGGCGAGTGTGTGCCCACGCCTGTCCACCCTGGCTCCCGCCTGTGCGCCCAGCGCGACCAACCCTGGCGTGCGACCGCTGCGCGCAGGGGCTTCCAAGCTGCTCCTGCCCAGAGGCATCCCTCCCTCGGCTTTCTCTATCCCGCGTCCGCTTCCGCACCCGAGAGCGACAGGCAAAAAAGATTCAGTGCAACTCAAGGACTGGTCCGATCCAACTAGCCTCTCCCCTCTCTCCAATAAAGCGCCCTCCCGCGTCCCTCCAGAACTCCCGAGAGGCAGCAACACCTTCCCACAACTTTCTACGCCCAGGCCATTTGCAGCCCCACCTGCGAGAGCGAACTCGGGAACTGCGCCTGGGCAACCTCTCTCCCCTTCGGCTGGGTGCCCTCCCCTCCCCCATCTCCCCTTCTGCATGGAGTTGGCCGGACTCGGGGAACCTCGGTGCCCGCAGACTCGCTTACCTCGCATGGTGTGGCCGCTCTCCCGCTCCGCGTAGTCATGAAGCTGCTCCCAGCCCGAACCCCGGAGAGCCCAAAAATCCCGCTCAGCACGAGTGAAGAAGGTGGTAGGCGAAGAGCTGCTGTGCCGAGAAAACCATCCCTTTAGGCGGACGCCTTGGCCGCAGGGTGACGTTTGCCGCCGCCGCCGCTATGTTAACAGTTTTGATGTTGGTGGTGACTGTTTTGATGATTGTTTGTTTGTTTGTTTGTTTTCAGGAAGGGTGAAAAAAATGTTCTGGCTGGCTGGTGCCTGGGTTTTGTTTTGGTTTTGTTTTTCTTATTTCTTTCTCTCCAATGTGCTTGCTTTTTAAAAATGCCACCGCCTCCGGCTCAGAAGATTTCTTTTGTGATCACTTGGACTGAGGAGGAGGAGGAAGGGCAGCAGCAGGAGGAGGAGTTGGTGGTGGTTTTGTTAGTTACAAAGAAGAGGGAGAAGGAGCAAGGGGGAAAAAAGGAAACAGAAAGAAAGGAAAGAAAGGCGGTGTGGATGGCAGAGCATGTGCGTTTTCACATGACATCTGTGCCTGTTAGCGGATCCACAATGTGAATTTTCACTGTTCAGTTACAGGGAGGAAGGGAGCAGCGAGAGAGAAAGAGAGGGGAGAGATGGAGAGAGAGCGCTGAGAGGGGCTTATACGCGAGGGCGGGCTCGGCCGCGACTTCCAGGCCCCGCCTGCTGTCAGCGCCGCCGCCAATCAGCGCCCGGCAGCGCCTGGAGAGGCTGGGACCGCGGGGAGGGGACACGGCGGTGGCGGGGGCGGGGGCTGGGGACCGGGGAGTCCTCGGTGGCCTGGGCTGCATCGGGGAATTCGAGACTGTCCGAACTGGGCGGAGGAGAAGGGCGGACCGGGAGAGGCGGGCAGATCCGCAGGTGACAGGCACTTCCGACTCCAGCGGAGAAGGGGACACTGGTCGCGGCAGACCTTCGGAGGCAAGAGACGCGGGTCTCCCCGGGTTTTACGTTAGGTCCCTCTCTCGCCACCCCCGCGGGCCCGGCACAGTTAGTTTTGAATTTGTGCCAGCACTTGGCCGAGCGCTGTTTCGGCAAACTTCGCGTCTCTGGCAGGGGTTTCCGTGGGCAGGTCTTCCGTGGGTGTTAGTGGTAGAATAATGCTAACCCACTTCCATCACTTTTAGCACAACTAAAATGCAGTCCCATGCAAGTAGCTGTCCCCTTCCTTTAAAAACGTCGGTCACATGCTCCCTGACCCCCTTCTTTAAAAGGAAAACAAAAGCATTCATGTTTGTGTTCTTTTGTCAGGGAAATTGATTTTTATTAGCATTTGGAGAATCCCCTGGCGTGGACTACAGGACTGAAGGAGAACAGCTCAAATTGGCGGTATGGCCACCTTACTAATTCAAGGAAAAGGGCTTGAGGCTCGAAGGTGAGATTGTAGTGTGCTCTTTAGAAAGATTTTAGAAGGAAGACATCGTTAACTTTAGTTGCCAACAGAAGACATTTACCCTATTTAGAGGCGATCGGTAACTGAACATAGATAAACTTGTCTTCCTTAGGCGAAAATCGTCATCTATGACCATTTAATTGTACAAAAATCTAATACATATATAAAAACTGTTTCTTTGCAAGTTTTTCCTCCTCAGTTGACAAAATAAGCATATAGATAATTACGTCTACTTCTTTCCCAATAGTAGGGAACTTCTTAAATACTTGGCGTTAATTGAACACCCTAAAAGATTAGGAGGTGAAAACATTTGCCTCATTCACTCAGCCTTGAGTCTGGGAGATGTCTACTCATTAGCATACCTGTTGGCACAGCAGGCCTCATCATCACTTAAGTATCCAAATAATTTGATTTTTGACTGGTATTTATTCACGATATGTCATGTAACACAAAGTACAGTGTAGAATTGGCAGTTATTTAGTTAATTAGGTCTCTCTACACTGCCAGCTAGTTTTTTCTTTCTTGATTAAATAAAAAATAAATTATCTGCTGAATTTTTACCAGCGTTAAATTGACATAACCCTGCTATATGCCATCCCATTTGCAAACCAATGTGTAATTTAGGAAAATTTTAGTATTAAGAGTGAAAGCTGATTGAGTCATTAATTAAATGAAATGAACAAAAGGAAGTAACTGTTCAGAATAGTTATTCCTTTCTAAATACCTTTCTCCTAGATTTGTAATTGACACAGTAATCTTTTAAGATAATATTTAAGGCTCCCTAGTTTTATTATTTTTAATCAAGTAAAATATATTCATAATAACTATGTTAAAGCTGTAGAAAGTTATGCCTAATTTAGTTGCTTCATTAAAAATTACTGAATATAAAATAGTCAAGAAACAAATTGTGACTATATCATTTTCATGTTGTTGCTTCAAGCAGAGACACAGTAATATCGAAAATTCTAAAGGCTTTGTAAACATTGTGTAATTATTATTGTTGTTGTTATCATTTTAGATTTCTATTTCTCCTTAGCGTAAATAGGAATTTAAACCTTAGAAAAAAATCAAAAATTGAAATTATGTTGTTTTAACTTTCTAAACATTTATTGAATTCTGATTTTTTTTTTTTTACTGCTGCAGTATCTGTAATCCTTGAAAAAGGTAGTCAGCACATGTATAAAAAGTATTTTACCCCCCCGCATATTTTTATATTCTCTTTGTTTAGTGGGTTCAACAAGGCATAATTTTGCTTAGTACGTATTTCTTAATTCCTTCTGAGTATTTTTGAATAAATTATTAATTAGTATGTTATTTTATTTTTTAAAACTCATATTCTCTATTTATGGTGATGCAAAAGTATGCATTTTCTCTTTAAATGCTCATCATTGGTTGTAATGTGGCGGCCTGGGACATTTTGGATCTTTCTAAAAATTTAAGAACTGATTTGTTGAAATTTTCTAATAATTTTCACACTTATTTTAACTGAATGGATCCCATTTATGTAGAATAAATATTAAGAATTCAAATGAAATAAGTATTTTCTAAGAACTCACAAAACACGTACATATAATCTGATGGTTTTATAACCTACCTGCCAGCAAATAACCATATTTCAAGTGGCATAATAATATGTTGATATAATGTCCTTGCTCACATGAAGTACAGTATCAGTAATTTCATTTGAATGATCATGTCTGGTTTCCTATAAGCTTGAAACTCTCCTTTTGGATCTGGGCCTAAAGGATAGTCTAAACTGATAGTTACATTTTGATTAAATGACAATCAGTCACATAGCACTGTCCTCAGTCTCAAGAATTGCATAGTATTCCACTTAGGCTTGCATGCTCACCTGTTTTTCAGATACGTTAGTGTCCCTCTGGTTGAGCTGTATCATGGAGCATTAATGGCAACAAATATCCCAAAGGAGGCAAAGTTTTAGTATAAGCCAACCAGATAGGATGGCCACAGCATTTAGAATTATTTCCAGTCCTAAAATACTTAAACAGGAAGTATAGTTCACGATATTCTGAGCTGGTAAGTGAGGGTATTCCCTGGTCAGGGAATATTTGAAATAATTATGAATCTTGAAGGGACATTAGCAATACCAATAACAATGTTATGTTTGGGAATGACTGACAGATTAGGTATGTTTAACTCTATTTAGGGAGCTGTGTGGTTGTGAAAGTTGAAAAAGAGATATAAAGTTGCTATTAAATATTGTAAAAGCCAGAAAAGTTTAAGAACTTTTAACATTCAAACCTTTTACAAGTGGGAAGGGTGAAGTACTGAGCTCTCTGTTGCTGAAGGCATCCAAGCAAGTGTTGAATGAAAGGTTCTGGTAGAGATGCTCTAGTATACAGATTTCTATACCAGGTTGGAAGTTGTCTAAATTACCTCCAAGATCATCTGTAGCTCTAAGTGTAATGTTGGCCTCTCTGTCTGTGGGTTCTGCATCTGTGGATTCAACCAAGAGCAGAGCAAAAATAAATTGCATGTGTATTGAACATGTACAGATTTTTTCTTGTCATTATCCCCAAAACAATACCGTATAATAATTATTTATGTAGTGTTTACATTGGCATTATAAGTAATCTAGAGATGATTCAAAATATATAGGAAGATGTGCATAGGTTATGTGCAAATACTACACCCTTTTATACCAGAAACTTGAGTATCTATGGGTTTTGGTATCCGTGGGAGGTCTTGGAACCAATCCCCCATGGATACCAAGGGATGACTGAATTCACATGGAGTAAAGTTTGCTACCACTGCCCCAGCAGGCATCAGAGCCATATTTCCTATCTGAGAATGCAAAATTCATGACAGCAGGAGCCAGGATATCCCTAGAGTTCGTAAGAACTGCTGGTAGTTTATATGTGCTTGGTAATTATTGGTGGAATGAATGCTTTCTAACCTTTGGGTCACTGGATGTGAACCACAAATGGAGTGAAGACCTGAATAAGATCCTTCTTTCTTAGTTTCTGTTGAATGGGAAGAGGAGGTGGGGAGAATCTGCATTTTAAATTCTTCTAATTTGGAGGGGCAAAAAAATGATGGTTGATATTTGGTTATGTAGTTAAAAAAGAAAGCTAAATTTAGTTATTTTCATATTTATTACTATTATTTTGGTTATGTAGTTAAAAAAGAAAGGTAAATTTAGTTATTTTTATATTTATTACTATTATCAAATTAATTTTATTTATTTAGGTATTTATGTTTTTGAGAGGGAGTACCACTGGAAGCTGAAGTGCAGTGGCACCATCTCTGCTCACTGCAGTCTCTACCTCTTGGGTTCAAGTGATTCTCCTGCCTCAGCTTCCTGAGTAGCTGGGATAAAGGCACCCGCCACCACACCTCGCTAATTTTTATATTTTAGTAGAGATGGGGTTTTACCATGTTGGTCACACTGGTCCCAAACTCCCGACCTCAGGTGAGCCTGCCTTGGCCTCCCAAAGTGCTGAGATTACAGATGTGAGCCATCATGCCCAGCCCTATTCTCAATTTTATTCCCAGGTGCTGAGTCTTCTTCATAATCTTTGACTTCTTTAAGTTCTGCGTCATTTTAAAATATAGATGCAAGTTCAATAAGATTTCAAATTAAAAAAAAGGCAAATATTAAAATTGAGCGTGTACTTTTTAATAAATTGGAAAAGGTGGTAAGGGCCAAAGCATGAATGAACCCCAGTATGTGGGAGAGGTAAGGCTAGCTTTGGGACAAGGAAAAAACATACAGGTCAGGAAAAACAAGAGCCAACATTTATTGGATGAATCACATGATCTCTCAACCTGTCTAATTTCTATTTCTTACAAGAGTCTATATGTTATACATTATATCTCCTCCTCCTCCCTACATTAAAAAAATTATTTTATGGCTAAAAGAACAGAGGCTTAAAAAAGTTTACTTATCTAAGATCACAAATCTTAAAATGCTGGATCCAAGATTTAAACCCAGATATAGCCACTAAAATGTGTTTCATGAGTGCAGGAACTTTCTTCATTTTATTTTAATTTTTTCAATGCTGAATCCACAGAATCTAGAGTCTTGCCTGATAAATAGTCATATGTCACAAAATGATATTAAATAAGAACAGTGATTTTTTTTTTTTTTGAGACAGTCTCACTCTGTCACCTAGGCTGAAGTGCAATGGCGTGATCTCGGCTCACTGCAACCTCCACCTCCTGGATTCAAGCAATTCTCCTGTCTCAGCCTCCTGAGTAGCTGGGATTACAGGCATGCGCCACCTCGACTGTTTAATTTTTGAATTTTTAGTAGAAACAAGGAATCACCATGTTGGTCAGGCTGGTCTTGAACTCCCAATCTCGTGATCCGCCCGCCTCGGCCTCCCAAAGTGCTGGGATTACAGGCGTGAGACACTGTGCCCCGCCAAGAACAATGAATTCTGACTTTAAAAATAAAAGGATACTGTGAAAAATTTATGAAACGACAATGGCCTGATTTGGTTCATCATGGAGTTTAGGAAAATATTTCTGCAATAAATATTTCAGGTTGTAAACAATGTAAGCCTGAATTGAATTGGCACTAGGAAAAAAGGGAGAAAATGAAAAGGTTGGATGCCTGACACATTTTGCAGGCAGAAGCTATGACATCGAATGCAATGATTAGACCAGTGGTGCTGGTGGGCAGAATGTTGGGTAAAGGAAGGGAGAAGTCAAACCAAAGCTTCTAGAATGAATATCCCACTTATCTAAGTATATAAGGAAGAAAGAGCAGATTCTTATTTAAATAGGGGAAAATATTGACATGAATTTTCAATTTTGCCTATCAGTGATGATGTCCAACAGATAGATAGTTGGCTATTGATAGAACTGGAGATTTGGAAATTGATTAGAGGTCAAAGTAAGATTTATGACATTTAGGCTGGGCATGTTGGCTCTGGCCTGTAATCCCAGCGCTTTGGGAGGCCGAAGTGGGTAGATCATTTTAGGTCAGGAGTTCGAGACCAGCCTGGCCAATGTGT